AGTGTAACCATACCTCCAAATTTATCAATTCCACATGATTATATATTATGCCGCATTTGTGAGGAAATGATTCCTAGTTATGAGATAGTTGCGCATTCAGAAACATGTGCTATCACCACAGAGTATGCTATTAAGTTACAGGAATGTGATGGTAGGCTTCGCAGGTTAATTGGAGATGTCACAAAGAAAAAGGCAGAAATCATGGTATTATTGTCAATTCTTGATCTATCAACTATTTTGCATATGGACCATTTTAACGTAAGTTTTAATAATCTGTTTTTCATATATTTATTTTTAGGAGAGAAATACACCTTATCAAGACTATTATACTATAAAAGATTCGGAAGTGATGGAAGAAATTGGATTAAAGTAATATACAGATGTACATTATTTTAGTACGTTGCAATTATCCATTATTCATTTATAAAATAATTCAATTAGGGCTGTTGAAATCAAAGAATCATTAAATCATCGAGAAGCTCTTAGAAAAATAGAAAAGTATGCAACAAAATTGGGTCGTTTAGTCGATGACATGGAAAAGAATACGATCAGAGATGAGGATATACTGACTTATGGAAAAAGATTGCTTCATGTGGTATGTTATATCATTGTCGGTTTATCACTGTAGATTTTACTAATTAACCATTAATTCTTTAGGTTGAAGAAAAGCACGAGACACTACGTGCATATTTTCAGAGATTGAAGTCATCATCAACTAATACAATCCCAAATACCGGTTTAGCAGCTGCTACTGTTGCTGCAGCAGTGGCCACTATTGCCTCAACATCTGCAATTGAAACTGCAGCATTACAAATACCTCATAAAATAGGCAGAAAACAGTCAATATCAAGTCGAGTATTGTCAACTTCTGCATCAAATAAAGCATCAACGAACTTTTTGTCAAAGTCAAGTTCTTATCGTCAGAAGGATACTGTACCTTCGCATAAACGACAAGATAGCACTGGATCTGTATCGAATAGTAAGCCTCTTTCAGAAATTGGTATGTTTTATAGTTGTTTATTATTTAATCAAAACAAATCAAATCGTATTATCCCAACCTTACATCTTCAATAGCTTGAATTAATATTTCAATAATACAAATGTAACTTTTTTAACAATTTGTGTACGCATGTACTTTACACATGTTCATCTATAGACTCAGATAACGCTCCACCGCGAAGGAGATTTATTTCATTATTCACTGCTGTCTTACGTGGAGGTAATAGTCGTTCTAGCAGTCTGTCGAGTAAGGAAACTGCCAATTCTTCCAACACTACAGTTGCTAATGGAGATAAAGTGGTAAATATTTACAATTAAGATGCTATATGTTTTGGTATGAATTTTTTACAATAATATGCTAGAATTGAGAATATATTAATTACTTATTCATAATAGACTGCTAAGACCAAAGTTCCAAGCATACAAGATTTTGAAATTATTAAACCTATTAGTCGAGGTGCCTTTGGCAAAGTTTATCTTGCGAGGAAAAAGACAACCGGTGATCTCTATGCCATAAAGATCTTGAAGAAGGTAGATATGGTGCGCAAGAATATGGTAAATCATGTACTCGCGGAGCGAAGAGTTCTTAGTCTATCAAGAACTCCATTCGTGGTTAAATTATTTTATGCGTTTCAAAGCCAGGATTATCTATATTTAGTAAGTGTTAACTATAAAATCAATTATTGAACTCTGATAAATATATTCTGAAAATAAATGTTTTTCCAGGTAATGGAGTATTTAATTGGGGGTGATTTATCATCCCTTCTTCAATGTTTTGAACGCTTTGAAGAGGATATGGCGCGTATGTATACAGCGGAAGTTGTATTGTCGCTCGAATATCTTCACAGCAATGGCATAACTCATAGGGACCTAAAACCTGATAATATGCTTATTACCTCCGAAGGGCATATAAAACTTACTGATTTTGGTTTGTCCAGGATTTCAATTCCAGAGAAAAGTAGCTTGGCGTTTATAAAAGAAGAACGAGAAACAAATAATGGAGCTGATAAGAAACCTTATCAAAGGACTTTAAGAACTGGTAGCATTGATTCACGTGCCAACGCTGGTCATACTCGTCCGGTCTCTGCAATTTTCTCTAATGAAAACCCAAAACTTTCTGGTTATATCAATATTGGTTTTGAACCACAGTCATCATCAGTAAAGCAATCAAAAAAAACAAATCGTCAAAGTTCTAAAGCTCTATTAGGTACACCAGATTACCTTGCTCCAGAGTTACTTCTGGGTATTGGACATTCAACAGCAGTAGACTGGTGGTCTCTTGGTGTATGTCTTTTCGAATTTTTAGTTGGTTATCCGCCTTTCAATGATGACACACCACAAGAAATTTTCAGAAATATTTTGAACCATGTTATTCAATGGCCACCGGAAGGATTTTTATCTTTAGAAGCTAAGGATTTAATTTCAAAGTTATTAAATCAAGATCCTGAAAAACGACCTACAGTTGAAGAGATCAAAACTCATCCTTTTTTTAATGGAATTGACTGGGAACATATTCGCCAACAACCTGCTCCTTTCGTGCCTAACCCTGAAGATGAACAGGATACGAGTTATTTTGAAGCTCGCAATAGTCGTGCGGATATCCGCCGCCTTTCTTCTGGTAATCTTGAAGATATCGCTTCTGGAAAAGTTGCTACCTATGTAGATCGTAGATCAGCTGTTTTTGATGATATTGACCTGGCTTCACAAGCACCTAGTGGCAATGTTATATTACAAACCGTTACAGATGAACCTGCTGAAAATTGTAACTTTGATTTAACAAACAATTCTTACCGAGATTCACGACATTCTTCCTTAAGTTCAGCATCTCTTAAACCACCGCAGGTTGAAGAAATGCAGATACCTGTGAAAAAACGTAGGCCGTCGCTCCTAAAGATTACAGCTGGTAAATCAAGAAAACTGTCCATAAGCAGTATTAATGATTATGGTTCTCAGTCATCTTCAGTATCTGGTACTCCTACAACTTCGACAATGACCCCATTGTCAGCATCAGCTTTAGTATCTCCTTCTTTTAATCAATCAAGACGTTCAACACTTCTAGGATCACCAACAACGTTAGGCGATTTCGAACAAGCAAATACCTGTGATATTGAACAACTGCACATTGGAAACCAGCCAACAATTCAGGCTGAGAATGATGAATTTGATGGATTTCTTTATAAGGGTGTTTCAGTTTTAGGCGATGTTACTAGGGATGTATTGTCATCCGGAAAACAGTAGTGTATATATCTTCGTTAAGCGATTACTTGTCTTTAACATTTGGTGCACAATTATGAAGTTTTATATTAATACAGTATCAATTGTTATCGTATTGGAAATGATATTTTTCTTATTGGGGGTTTAAAAAAAAAAAAATTATACACATATTA